AGAGAGAGAGAGAGAGAGAGAGAGAGAGAGAGAGAGAGAGAGAGAGAGAGAGAGATGGTCGTTGAACCTTTTCTGGAAGGGTGGAAGCACCTTATTCCTCCGAAGACATCGTACGGTCATTATAGCTGTATTTGCGGTGTCTTTCAGTCTAAATACACTGCTGTTATGACCGTACATTGTATTCAGGGAATAAAGAAGAAGGTAAGTAGGAGACACAGCGTTGTGGCAGTGCTGGCAAAACAGTCGAATTTTGCGTCTCTGGTTTTCTTTGTCATTTGATGCAGGACCCAGCTGCATTATGCATTTCACAAAAAAAAAAAGCAATTTGTTGGGGGTGTGGGCTCCTTCGTGTTGTCCCGACAAGTCAGTCTAAAGGGGCAGAGGAGCAGGGATCGATGGGTTCTTGTTTTATTCCAGTGTCTCTGAAGAGTCCGAACAATGAACGGTACTGCGCAAACTCCGTGGGCTGCAGTTCCTTCGTGTGAATGGGTTTCAAATCTGTGGATGCGTGTGTCTGCAGCCTATTTGTTTTTGGCAAAAACAAAACGGAAAAAAAAAAGAAAGAACTTCAAAGAAGCCTATTTGTTTTTGGCAAGTATGTCTCAGCGACTCGACATCGAGCTCGCCCGGACACAAAAATGACACGATGGTGGTGCATTGTTTAATATGTTTATCCTGTTTGCTCTGTGCAAAACAGCCGCACAAGGTAAATAAGCTCACGGGCAAGGAGCTGGACGCATTGCTGTTATCGGAGAGAGATGTTCCCCTTGTTATTGACTTCTACGCCACATGGTGTGGCCCTTGTCTCCTTCTTGCACAGGAGCTCGACACGGTATTGTCTCTTTTTCTCGCCTCTTCAACGCCTGCCTCTCCTCTTCTCGTAATCTGAAACCACTAGTACCTCCTCCAGTGCTGGGAAAATAGGGAAAAAGGTGGCAGTTTTCCCAAACTCCTAAAAATTTGGAGGCCGGCCCGACGACGGCTGCCATTGATAAATCTGATCGGCGGTCGTCGTCTCGTTTTGGCCCTCCGAAAAGGTCGGAGGCCCTCCCAAGGCCCGCTATTTTCCCACGCGGCAAAGGTACTGCCGTCTTCACCTGAATTGAACGCCCGGTCATTACAGTCGTATTTGGAGCAACTTTCAGTCCAGATGCAGCCATACTGACCGGGCGTTCTATTCGGGTGAAGACGGTAGTGGTTTAACCCCTCAAAAGTCAGTTGAAAGGGAGTGCTAATCCGCACAACGCATGTCATGAAACGTCATGCATCCTGTTATTTGCAATAAATTATAAATGTGACCAACTTCTTACAAAACAAAGAAAGAAGAAGAAGAAGAAGAAGAAGAAGAAGAAGAAGAAAAAGAAACGTCAAGCACCACATGACGACATGAAAGAAGATGCGACGGAGACGAAAAGAGAGAAACCCCACAATCCCAGTGCAGGTAGCATTGAAAATAGGACATGAAGAACGCATGCAAGTCTGGCGATAAGTCCCGACCGGTTGTTTCTGCGGGTTGCCATTCCGCGGCTTCCTTTGGGGGGGGGGGGGGGGTGGGGGTGGCTGAGAATTATGAGAGGGGAAGAAAAAAAAAAAAAAAAAAAACGAACCCTCAAAGGTGAAGCCCATGAAGAACACGCCATGTTTTGTCGTTCAAATTGTCATGATTGGCACCGACGGTGGGTGGTCCTAGCGCAGTGGGTAGACCCACAAACTGTTTGAAATCCAGACTTTCTTTCGAATCCAGGTGCGGTCTTTGTACACAGAAAAAAGAAAAACAAATTGTCATATGATTGATTGGTTGGTTGTAAATCGTGACGATTGGCACCGACGGTGGGCCTACCATCTCCACCCGAACGCCCGGTCATTATAGACGTATTCGGTGCAATTTTCAGTCTACATACAGCGATAATGACCGGGCGTTCTATTCGGGTGAAGACGGTAGCTCCGTCGGTAGACACCCATGAACTGTTCAAAATACAGACCTGAGTTCGACTCCAGGTGACGTCAGATGAACAGAAACAGAAAAAGAAAAGCAAGTTGTCACGATCGGTTGGTTGTACCTCGTGAGTCGTAACTACTAACTGGTAAAAACGTTTTTGTGAAAGGAAAAAAAACTGGTTCGTTCGAGCAAAGTAGTTCACCCTTCGATCGCACTGTCCAACAGTTCCGGGTCGAGAACCGTTGAAAATTGAAATACAGACCTGAGTTCGAACCCACGTGCCGTCAGCGTCAGATGTTCATGCGATCCAATGCAGAGGAATTGAAGACACTTTTTTGAAGTTTTTTCTTCATTAGACAGTGCAATTGAAGGGTCAGGATGGCCACATAGGAGTGGGATCAACGATCAGGAAAAGTCGTATGGTCCTCCTACCAGATGGTGGTTAGCTTTGAGTTAGCGTGCGGTTAATATGACCGAATTGTGAAAGCCGCATGCTGTTTCTCATTTTTCAAGTGGCATGACCTCATGACCTGCTCGCACGACGTTGCATCTCTATTGTTTTTCGACGACTTTGATCGCTCACTCTGGCCTAAGCGATGCAATCTCTGGCATCCCCCAACTTTCCCCCACCTTTTCCGACGACTTCGGCTTGTACGTTCCCACCTTTCTTCCACTTAGTTCGATACGCCGTGTACGGTACCCCTGTCTTCCACTTAGTCCGATATCTCTGTTCCACTTAGTCCGATATCTCTGTTCTGCTTAGTCGGATATCTCTGGCATGGTGGGAAAGTTGGAGAATGGGTGGACGTTCCCCCTTTCTTCCACTTAGTCCGATACGCCGTGTACATTACCATTCATGCTGGTGGCGGTCCAGCATGAATGTGGGAGGATGAAAAAGGTGGGAAAATTGGGAGATGGGTGGACTGTAGGCTTTTGGCAGCTGGCTGAAGACATTGAAGGATGATGTGTTTGGCTTTCGACAGGTGGGTGAAGTGCATTTTTTTTTTTGGGGAGGGGAGAGAGAGAAAGAGAGAGAGAGAGAGAGAGAGAGAGAGAGAGAGAGAGAGAGAGGAAAGTAATCCACACAGTGATGGTGGATGGGTAGGTGGACAGAGTCCGACAGACCGATGCGGGTCGGATCTACTGTTTTCTACCAATTTGAGGGCATAGTCACACTAGGACGTGTTTACTTATTTCTGGATGAAGTTGCGGCCAGATACATCCAGGTCCAGCCGTAAATGTGGCCAGATACAAATTAAGACAATGCTAGTGTGAGTATGCCCTGAGTCATGGCTAGGACATGTCCAAAGTTGGTTGCGGTTTCGTCCATGCAGTTGTGTAGTGCTACCTCACTGTTTGTTATCTGCAAAATGCTACGATCTTCACCCAAGTAGGACTTACAGTCATTATCGCTGTATCTAGACCGGAAGTTGCACCAAATACAGCTATAATGACCGTACGTTCTATTCAGGGGAAGAAGATAGATCTTTGCCAAAGGGTGCATGAGTTCGACACTCTTGTGACCACGCTTGGCATTCGTCGCGGAATGAGCTTAACCCCACCAGCCCTTTGCCACGCTTTTTTTTTTTTTTTTTTTTTTTTTTTTGGCCACTCTTAAGGCGGCGAAAGATCGTTTTCTTACCAACTGAGCTAGGCCGCTGGATAGGTGGTCTTGGGTTCAATCCCCATTGGCCTCATGTACCCCTTCTTCCTGGGCAAGCTTGGCGCCCGCCACCTAGAGATAGCCCCTTGGTCCCCCCAATTGGCATTAAAAAGCAGTCCTGCTACCGGCTGTCCCCACTGGCCGGTGTCCCCCCCCCCCCCATTAGGGGGTCCCTGAAAGCAATAAATAAAGGCCACCCTGGGTGGGCTGAAAAGGCCACCCGATGTCAGATTAGACACAATAATGTGTTTACCTGGGCTGGTTAGTCCGATGATAATACCTCAAGGCCATCGCCCTTTTTTTTTTTTTTTTTTTGAAGATCATTTTCTTAGTCAACGAAAGCTCGTTTGAGATCGTTTTCTTTGTCGGCTGAAGCCCTTTCTAGATCGTTTTCTTAGTTGGCGAATGCGTTTTGTAGACCTTTTTTTGTTTTGTAGACCTTTTTTTGTTTTGTAGATCCTTTTATTAGTTGATAAGTGCTGTTTTTCTTACAGCAAGGACGTGTTTGTGTGGGAAAAAAGAAAAAAAAAAGTAAAAACGAAAAAAAAAGGAAAAAAAGAAAAAAAGAAAAAAA